TTTATATGGTATTGTATGCAATTTAAGCAGAACCTTTTTAAATATAGTGATTTAGTATATTTTGGTACAGTACTAAAACAGTAAGATGGGACTTGCTTCAGAGTGTCTTCCTTTTTCAGAATAAAAATATATTAATTTTAATCTAAAACTTTCTTGTTTAAAAAGGAAATATGGATTGAAAAACATATTGAAGTAATATTGTGTTGAGACATCAATGCAGAAACTTACCCACAAAAAAAATGAGTTACAATAGACAAGCAGATGTTTCTGAAAGATTTCCTCATCATTCGGTGTTGATTAAGAAAAGGATGATCACCAGAGCCTTCAGTTATGAGTATTTCAATAAGGTGTATCCTACTTTAAGTCATCATTTATTCTATGTCCTTATTAGGACGTTCAGTTGAGTAACAAAAAGACAAATATTTCATTCCTACATTGAATAAAAGTTTTAGTACATGTGCTGATTATAGGAGAAAATTACAAAGCAAAGGTTATATTTGGACACATTAGTTTTAAAAAAGCTAATTGGAAACAATAAAGTAGAAATTTTAAAAATACATTGTTTGGTTAGTTTATATTTGTTTATGCATTTATTTTTATTTCATATTTCTAAACTGCCTAGATCCCTCAAAGAGAAACTCTGGGCAATGTGAAATATAATATAACCGATAAATAAAAAAGTATAAAATTAACATTAAAATTAAAAATGGAATTAGGGTTAAAATTTGCCCCCTATGTAAGACTGCAGACCCAAGTTTAGACCCTTTGCAGAAGGCCAAGAGATTGGGGGCTTTCCTGTCCCATGTAGGGCTTTATAGGTGATGACCAACATCTTGAACTGGATCTGGAAACAAACTAGTATCCAGTGCAATTTGAAAAGTGTGATATGTGCCCTTCTTTGGGCACCCAATATGGCTTGTGCTGCTATACTCTGCACCATCACGTAGAGTGTGTTGCAATAGTCCAATTGGGAGATCACTATATTTCTATATAGACTATAATGTATAAATTGTTCTCAGGATCTGGATGCGTGAAATTATTTCTAGAAGATAATTAATCAGGTAGCTTCTTAATCATGAAAATACTGATGAATATATTAAAGATTCTTTATACTGAATCGGCAAAGGGGGCAGAATACTGATGTAAAATCGGAACAATTTTCAGTCCCTTTTATACTTTGTGTTTTCATACATAAGATTGGTTTGCTTGGAAACATTCCTGATTTTTCAAGCATTAAAATATAGCTGCAGAATATAGCTAGTCAGCAAGATTTGGGGAATGTATATCAAACTATCATCAAAATATCATCAAAACTATGTCTCAGATATTATGCTTAGCCATATAAAAAGACTGGATGGGATTAGTTGAATGGATTAGATTGCAAGTTTAACTTCCCCGTAACTTTAAGCTTTCTTCAGTCTGGCACTTTCCAGGTGTGTTCGAATGGCAATATTCAGAATTCTCAGCTACCTGTTAGCTATTCTGTATAGGAACTGTAGAAATTATAATCTCAGCATAACCAGAACTTTTTCCACTTTAGGAAAATCTTGTTTAATACTATTGCAGAGCACATGGATTCAATCTCTAAAACGTGCTTCAAGCTGTAAAGGAGCACAAGTACAATATTTGTCTGCTTAACGAGCTGCACTTCTTCAGCTCCATAGTACCTTTTGGAGATTAAATTTTGAACAATATCCCTTGCTACAATCACTGTATAAAAAAGAAATTCTTACACTATTCATGATATCGTAGATTGTCAGGTTGGATTCTAATCTAACAAGCCCATTAGAAAGCTTCTTTCTCAGAGCAATCTTAATAATCTATTTTCCTCTCACCAGATTTCAAATATTATGTTGTGTTATGATTTAACCATGGTTAAATGGTTAACCATGGTTTACAGAATCAATCACAAGTGGATAATCTTTCAATATATACTGAATATGTACTGAACCATAAATCATAGTTTATAGCAAACTTTAAATGCTAGATTTACAAAGCACTCTAAACTAAAACCAAGAAACCGTGTAAATTAGTTATGGCTTAGTTAGAAGTGTGAACCCAGCCATTAACTCTTGTAATAAGTGGGTGATGCTCTGCCCTAAGAAATAGAGGTATCAAGGAGTATGTAATCCAATATCCCCCCTGTATTTCTATTTTAAAATGTCCAATTGTCTAATTTTCTTAGCTTTTTTCTCTTACCCATAAAATAATGACTAGATTCTTCCCTCTGAAATTTAAAAAAAAAATCTTCTACTTTGATTTCATTCTATAAGCTGCAAAAAAGTGGCAAATCTCAAATGTGGTATATTCTACCACATATTGACAGGCTAATATCTGACCAGATAAAAAATGATATTAGCAAATTTCTGATATATATTTGGGGAAATCTCACATGCTTTCACAGTATGTTCGTATGCTTGCAACAGGAATTTCCTGAAGCTGTGAGGTAACTATATTTTGTTAACATGTTGTCTCAGATATATATTATGCAATTTCCCCAAAACACCAAATGATGGATTACAGTACCTTCACAACAGAAATAAGAAGTCTGTGGGATCTTAAAAATATTAAATATATCCTCATCTGATCATGCTCTTAGTAAAGTATCTGGAATATAAATTTAATGGTATAAACTAGGGAATTATATGCCTAAGAAAAGCAGCTTCTACCTTGACAATAATGCCTATCTTTGTAGTTCACACAAATTAAGTCACAAGATCATGTATTTAGTATGATAAATGAGGGGTATTATGGTTAAGTATAATGTGTAATCCATTAACTGTGTATCCATTAATTGTGAGCAGAGACAATATTTTGGTTTATTTGTAGTAGGAATTGGAAATATATTAAAGTGAAAATCTGATGTACTGAGTTATGCTCAAATCAGAAATCCAGGAAGCTGTTTCAGAAGTTGAATTTTGACAATGTGTATTTTGAAAACCTGTCTATTTTATTTATATACTATATGCTCCTGGTACAAACCAGAAATCAGGAAGCAGGTTGAGGATATTAGAGCATATTTTCTGCACATAAGAATGTTTGATTATGACTAGAAAAGCAAGGGAATAAATCAGAGTTAAATGTTAACATTCAGTACTGTAAAATAAATTTAAAACACACCAATAGTACACAAAATAGCTTAATAAGGAATTACGGACTGTCTGTTCAAATAAAGATTGCCAATAAGGGAGAACATACATAAGATTTATTATCTTAATGGGCGTGTTAGCTAAATTAGTATGATTTGCCTATCAACACACACTAGAAACAAACTACAACATAGCTTTCTCCAACGTGATGAGTTTCAGATGAATTGGTATATATGTGGCAAACCCGAAACCCTTCCCCCATGACCACCAAAGAGAAAGTAAGAAAAAGAATATATACTAAACCTAACTAAAATGGCTACACATATATCAATTTCAGGCTTGACAGGCTGCCCCCCCTCATTTAAAAAAAAAAACCTGCAATGACATAAAATACACAGAGATTGAAATTAGGTTAAACACAATCATACAATGAGCATGTGTAGCAGGCTCAGATAGCTTTGAAGACTTAAGTTTCCCTATACATACATATACTTTGTGACACTGAATATTGGACTATACGTATTTCTTTGTCCCATACCGCAAAACACTGGATGTTAGCTAACTACTGTATATTGATGTTGCTTTAGACATATATACATATTTCAGAATGAACAAAGTTAACATCATCATCATTTCCTCTACTTATTAGATGACTTACATCACAAGATGTCCAAGTTATATGCTACTTATAACCATTCATAAAAAGCCACAGCTAAAAGAACTGGATAATGCCTGACACTTGTTCTGACTTTTTATTTCAGAGTTACAGCATGAAACACCCCCAATTAATAACAGCTGATACATTTCTCAATTATGAAATAAAATTGTGTGGCAAATTGGCAACTTTTAAAAAAGTGACGAATAAGTCATTCTTCCCATTCATTTGGGGTAAATGTTAACAGCTGAAACTCTCTGCTCCAAGCAAGGCCTTAAAATTCAAATTGCTAATTCAATATGATTATCTGTCCTCATTTTTTTTTCAACCCATGTGGTATTTGATTATAAAAAGCTGAACCTACAACAATTATAGGCCTACATGAGTTTCAAAACCATCACACTCATTGCAAGCAATATTGCACCATCTCATCTGTCTTTTCAGCATTGTAATGAGATTAATACAAAGCCACTATTGTATACTGACAGTAGGTTTAAATCACTCTTTTCCCTATTCCTAATTTGTTCTTCAAATGGAAATCTACATTGCAATCTTAGTCTTCAAATAAGCCATTCGACTTATGTACAGATAATGACAATGGAAGTAGGTATCTAATGTCCAAATGGACTTCTGCAGTACATGTGAATTTTTTAAATGATATTTTTGCTTGCATAGTTCTATGCTCTGTTAGACCAGTTAGCATGCATGCTTGTTTGGAAGAATTAGGTCAAGAATGTCAAGGAATTTTGATTTAGATGAGTAATTCTTTAACTTTAGTGATTTAAATAATGATTAGTTAATTTTCTTTAAGATTCTACAATGGGTGGGGGTGAATCTTGATGATCTCTGGAGTGCGTTTGAAATTTATGATTCTGTTTAGGTCTATTACACACTTATTTAGGAATAAATCCCACTCTGTCCATAATTTAATTATGCTGTAATTCTCCCCACCAATAAATTCCATGCCAGTTTCTGGATTCCATAATTGATGGAAAGGTCCCTTAAAGTCACCTGGAATTGAGATACAAATTTTATGGCTCAGTTTGCAGACTCTTTTTCCTTTTTAATAAAGTAAGATCAGCAGAACAACTAAAATGCAGGGAAAGTTAATATCACAGAAACTCATTTTTAAAAGACCATTCCTTAAAAATAAATGTTAAAGGTACTCTATCTCCATTAAAGATGATCAAAGAAATGTTATCACCTTGAGAAGATACCTGGCTCCCCTAATCATTTGAGACATACTCAGAACTTACCACTCTGGGTTTATCCAGGGTCTGCAGGAAGGCTGGACTCTGGTCCAAGGATCGCTCAGGATCACTGGAGATATCTTCTTCAGACTCTTCCCAGGATGAGGAAAAGCCAGTGGAAGAAGCTGAGGAAGAAGACAGCTTCCTGATTGGCAGGTCCTTTGGGGGAGCTGCTCCTGTTTTATCTTCCTCCTGAGCATCCAGGTCTGTCACAATAACAGCAGGAATGGTTGCACCTCCACAGCAGCTCCCCACTTCCACTAGGGAAGGCCTCGGTTGTGGTAAAGCTGCAGAGGTCCCTGACGGAAGCTGCTGTTCCTGCAGCCCAACAGCATGGGCTTCAGCCATAATCTCAGTCCAAGACTGCTTCCCAGAGAATGTCAAAGCGAACAGGCTGCTGCTACCTTCCTTGCTGTCAGTTCTGGCAAGACAAGGCGGGTCTCCTGGAGGGAGCAGCTCTCCAAGGGGCATCTCTATTGCTCCTGAGCCCTGCCCTCCAGAAAAGTCCCTCCTCCAGAGCTCAAGTTCTATGAAGCTTTGATTCTCACAGCAACTGCTCACCTTGCTTGACCCCTCCAAAAGTTGTGCCTCGCCTTCATCTGGCTGCATCATGATGCTCATTTCATCAGAGCCCCGAGTTTCCTCATAGCTTCTCCTGCTCTCCACCTCTTTGGAGTCTTTTTCTTCCAGAGGCTCACCTCTCACCTCAAAGCCCTGCCTCCCAATAGGCCACTGTCCCCTTTCCGTCTGCCTGGACTCCTGTGCCCTGGAAATCCCATTCACCCTCCCCATCTGGTTAGAATTGGGCCCTTTCAACAATGCACATCCTTTATCCATTGGATCTGACCTCCACATCCCAGTTTGGCTCCTGCTCTCCACCTCTTCCAAATCTTGTGCTCCAAAGGTCTCTTTGGCCCAGTGCCTTGGGCCCTGCTCTCGGAAGAGTCCGTTTTCTTTCTCAGTAAAGGGAGACGCACCTTCCTTTATTCCCTTGCCCGCCACCTGTAATGGATAGGTGTCCCCAGAACCCTTCTCTGCCTCCTTCTCTAACGCCTTCCCTGTGGTTTCCAGTCGGAACCAGAGTTTATCGAGTTCCTTGATTCCCTCCTCAATCTCTCGTTGCCTCGACGGGGTATCCTCCACCAGCTGCAAGGGGCGAGGTCGGCTTGGGGAAGGAGGCGACTTTCTCCTGGGCAGGCGGGGACTCTTTAGGGGGAAAGCGGCGCCCCCCGAACTGTGCGCCTGGATGTGCGCCTCGAACAGCCCCACTTTCTCAACCACCTGCACATTCTGCAGCTCCCGCTGGAGGACCCGCGACGTCCCGCAAGCCTCTTTCCAGCCGGGCGAAGGAGAGCGGCTCTGGGGGCTCGTCCAGAGAGGGCTGCCGAGCTCTCGAGGGGACCTGAGAACGGGAGCCACCTCCGTGGCCCGCGGCGGCTCGGCTGGAGGGAAGAGGAATGCAGCGGGGGAGCCGCTGGAACTGCCGCTGCCGCCCAGAGGCAAAGGGCAATAGCTGCTATGCCTCTCGCTTCCCCGGACGACTCCAGGTGGCCCGTGTCTGCGCGTGGCAGGCGGGGTCTTGCTCCTGCCTCCTCTGCAGCCTCGGCTCTTCTCCTCTTCCTCGCCGCTCTTCTTCATGATCACTAGGCTGTTGAGCGCATAGCAAAACACGGCCATAGTAATGGGTCCGGCCGCCGGGGGACAGGCTCCGCTTCCTCCTCCTCCTCCTCCTTCACCCAGGTCAGTTTCTGCCGAACAGCCCACGTCCTCTTAGGAGGGGGAGGCGGCGGCGGCAGCGGCTGCAGCATTGCCCAGGGAACGGGAGACGCGTAGGGGCGATGAGCGGACCCCGGTCCACAGCTCCATAAACACGCGAACTGGATGGAAAGAGAAGAGAAGAGGGGAGGGGAGAGAGTCGCGACAGTGAGCGCGCGAAAACAGAGACAGCTCGAACCGGCCCTGCCAATTGGCTGCGGGAGACAAGAGTTCGGCCAATGGCTGCAAAGCTCTCGCCTCGGGAGCCCGGCTGCGAGAAAGACGTGACTTTAGCCGCAAAGGTTCAGCAGAGTCCAGCTCCGCCTCTTTTAAAAAGTTCATTACGTTGATCAAAGCAATAGCATATTAACCTGAATCTTTACACAATCCAGATTCTAACTTCAGTGCCAAGTTTCAGTCCCAGAATGCGCGGATAATAAAGAAGGATCCTTTATGTGAGTAGTACAGCAAGGATCGAAACTCTATGATCCCCGGATTGCCCCAAGGACCCAGGGCTCTCCAACCTTGGCAACTTTAAGCGGCTGCTGGCTGGGACATTCTGGGAGTTGAAGTTCGCCAGGCTTAAAGTTGCCAAGGTTGGAGACCCTTGCTTTAGGAAGCAGACAGACCCCTTTGATCATGCCTGCTAAAACGTGACAGTACAGTTTCTCGTCGCTTTAACGTTGAGAAAAACATCACGTTTTGGAAGCGTGACCCCACCCGCTTTGGTGAAATATTCTAAACTTTTCCCAGAGTGCTAAATGCAACCCTTGGCCACAAAACGAGAACCTTATCAACCTTGAAGTAAGCTGTTTTACATCCATATAGAGGTAAATAAGCTTGTTAACGTTTTCCATAGTTAAATGAATGACAGGAGGAAGAAAAGAGAGAGAGAACAGGCCTGTGAAGGCTATAGCAACATAAATTAGAAGCCAAGGCTTAATTTTCCAGTTGATTAAATAAGCAAATAGCAAAAGTGATAGGTGAATTAGAAGGATGCCTCTAAATGTGTGCAAAAAAATAAATAAATCTCAGCAAAGCAATCACAATCAATATTAAAAGCAAATATACATGTCCCAGGGTAGTGATGCGAAATTAAACTTGGGTGAGTCAACCTGAGATTTACTGTTCTAAGCTTTTGGATTCAAAGTGGAGCCCATCTTCAGGGAATTTCTCTTTACTGGAATATTTTGGGCTGTTCTGTGAGTCATGTTTATGTGCTGCCTTCCTATTGGCTGATTGGTATGTTAATGGCTGGCGATTGGCTGTCGTTTCTTTGTGCTGCCAAGCCCTGGGTTCCTATAACTCCCTGAAGATGGGCTCCAGCATGAGTCCCAAAGTTTGGAAGAGTAAATCTCTGGTCCTGGTGACTGGCCCAAATTCGATCTCACAATCAATATTCCCTATCATTAAAAAAAGCTTAATGGCAAGAAGATTGGTCTTCTTGGTCTCTTTAAGTTGGCCTTAAATTCAGATTTGTTTCATAAAAGGATAAAAGTACTGCTAAAGCTACAAGTTCTGCTTCTCAGGCAAAGCCCCAAGAAGACACTGAAATGGTCAAGAAATGGAAAAGCTTGAGATGCTATATTATCGTAAATTAGTAGCTAGTGTTACCAATCACCCACATTCTGGCCATGTCAGAAAGAAAACAACAGATAGGAAGAAAGTAGCCAAGTATCAGAAGATGTTCCATGAAAATAAAGGAGCAAGTCAGGACTAAATGTGGGTTTTCTCCTGGGAGCGGGGAGGGAGAAATCATGGGACTTAGGAAAACCAAAACTCACTACACAGATTTTTTTCTTTTTAAAACAAAAGTAACTACAGAAAGGAATGGTGGAAGGCCTTAAATGCTGGCTTGGAAGTTATGAGAAGGAATGCTGGAAGGCTCATCATTATATGCTCTAGAAATTGAATTTGAGGAAACTAAAATTAAAATAACATAATTAAAACAATAGTATTCATAAATATTTGAAACATACAGTCAGAAGCCACCACAAGGCTAAAGGAAGCAGAACTGTAGCTTTTCCTCTGAATTAATTTTTTCTGTGGTGGAACAGTATTGTGCAGCAACACTTTGCTCTTTTACTTAATTTCTTATTATACCACTTTAAACTGTACCTGTGCTCATTTTTATTCATTATACAGTATTGCCTAATGGGAAGCTACAAAATGTGTAGCCTTCTTGCTATTATTGCACCATCTCCCATCATTCCTGGTAGCCATACTGATGGAGTGTGATAGAAATTGGAATGAGCTTGAAAGTCAGAAGACACATTACTGTCTTGTTGGGTTAATTGATTTTTGAAACTGTCAATAAATTGTCTCTTTACTGAAGTTGTTGGGATTATACAGGTAGCCTTTGACTTACTATCAAAGTTAGAGTACTTACAACCTGACACAGTTGGGCTCCCTCCAGGGTCACGTGATTGTATTTTGGACCCCCAGCACCTGGCCTGCATTTATGGCCATCTGAAGTGTACTGAAGTCACATGATCGCCTGAAATAGGTGTTTACTTTGTTTCCAGCAAAAAAAAAAACATCCATTGCAGACAAAGGATTTCCTAATGACTAGCTTTCGCTTAACAACTACAGAATTTGTGTTAAGTTCACTTAACGACTACTGCAAAAAAGGTTGTAAAATCAGGCATGGTCACATGATGACTCATGTAATGACTGGCATGATTTACAATAGTGATTCCATGCTCAATTATTTGCAAGTCAACAACTACCTGTATTAGAATAAATTCTACTGAACTGAGTGGGATTTATTTCTAAAATCTGAGACAACACAATATATAATTATTTCCTGCTGTAAGGATATATAGTTTTATTAATATTACATATTTAAGCGTGTATTTATATGTGTGCTATGCTATTTGTGTATTGTAATACGGTAGTATAGACATATTTATAACCTTACGCATAATATGCATCTGTGTAGTACTGCTTCTCCAAATGAAACCACCTCTTATTTTTGTATCAGTTATATAGTAAGCATTTTGATTCTGATGGAACTTAATGCCCTTCATGCTGTGGCAAATGTAATTGTTTATCTGTCATTCCATGTTCTAGTCTTCTGTATGAATCTTTGGAATTTATCCATCTACCTGCATACAAGAATAAAGTGTAGATTTTTTTTACTTCCTAATAGGTTTGCCTAATTATTTACCCTGCTTTGAATATTTAAGTTTCTATGCTGTTGAAACTGAAGTAGAATTATATAATGTGCACAGCAAACATTCTGGCAAGAATAAACCATAATGAGAGTAAGGAACCTGATAACTTTGGGAGATCATGTTTGATTAAATAAAACAACATAATGTGTAAAATATACTATCGTTATTATCTTCTAATCCACACTGAGTTTTTCAACCAAGAGCCCTGTAGTACTTGAAAGAGGACTCCCAAAGGTGCTTTTTCAAGAGGTGAGTGGACTTCCTTGTTTTTCTTTGAAGACATTTCACTTCTCATCTAAGAAGCTTCTTCAACTATGACTGGTGGGGATGATGGGGATAGTGAGGAATGGGAGGATTTATATTCCTTGCAGACAGCTGGTCATTTTCATTCTGTCCAGCTGTCTGCAAGGAACATAAATTCTTCCATTCCCCACCATCCAGTCAAAGCTGAATAAGCTTCTTGGGTGAGAAGCAAAATGTCTTTAAAGAAAGTCCAGTCACCTCTTGAAAATGCATCTTTGGGATAACCATGACCTGAATGACTGAGAATCTCCATAGACATTTGGAAGGACATTTGATAAATACATGGGTCAGAATGCATTTTTATCAGAAACATGAAAAATCATGTTCTCTACCTTTGGTGGTCAAGGTTGATATGGAAATGTGTACTTTTTAAGTTTTTATTTTTAAATCTTAATGTCTGTTATGCTGGCTATAGTGGAAGATTATTCTAAATAAGGTAAAGGTGCTAGAACAGTATTTAACATTTCCAGTTTATATTGGTTTTTTTCAATTCCCAATCAGTATCTTCATGAAGAAACTAATATAGTATTCAATTTAAACAGGAAAAGCAAACGGGTTTAATAGCATCTCATCCTGCCCTATGGTCCTGACTGAAATTGCCTTACTCCATTTATTTATCTGTTTGTTGGTTTAATTTATATGCTTCCTGTCTCCCTATCCTGAGTAACTCTAGGCAGCAGCTTACAATAACTTCATTGCTATAATTAACAACTCTTAAAGATCAAAATAATTGGACAAAAAAATTGTATTTTCTTGAATTTGGCTTCTTATCAGTGGATGTAGGCCACAATAAATGTGATATTCTTTCCTTGATTTTTTTTTATCCATCTCTAGTAACAATATATTATATCATTTACTATCAACCATATAAGTTTTTTTTAATGCTAAGATTATACTAAATCTTAGAAACATTACAGAATTAGAAATATTACAGAATCTATAGCATTGGCATAGCATTGCTAGCGTTACTCTTAATATTTCTAATGCTAGGTGTGGCTTGTCCAGGTCTTTTATATAGTACGCTAATTGGGAATGAACTAAAAAAAGTAGCCCCTTTCTTTTAGCGATCAGCTGGATTATTTTGCCACTTTAATTCAGTGATTTGATCCTATTGAGTAATCTTGTGCAGCTACATCTGAGTTTGTAAAGTTGTTCTTTGAACCAAAACTATGCTTGTTTCAACAGGTTTCCATGATATTGCTTCTTGGAATATTAATAATTATATGCGTCCAGACAATGTTTTACCATTGTATAGCAAGCACAGTTATATTTATAGTTTCATGCATATTTCTTCAACTTTACTCTAATCAATTTTTAAAACGTTTTCTTGAATTTCTGAAAAAGGTTCATTATCTTGGGAGTCTTTATCTTTTATTCATGTTTTAAATAACACTTTCTCACAATTCCAACAGTTGCCATTTCTGTGCAGATAATAGTGCACAAAGTAATTTGTTTGTGGATCTAGTAAATAGGAAGTCTGGTAGCTCTCTATTTGGGCAGTGGCTTATCTACTGGAAGAAGTAGCAGTCATGTTCAACTCTTGCATACTGGGCAAATTCTGGGCCTCTGTCCCTGAATGATTCTTAAAATTACACTAAGTTTGTAAAAATCATGTGTCCAGTATTCAAAGCGGGAAGGCAACGGCGTGAGATAAATAATTTGTAAACTTGCTGGACGCGGCTATGTGTATTTGTGTGCAAGCTGAACCCTGTGATGCGTGTCTTGCCCTCATATTATATGGAGGAAACAAATGATGGCAATCTCTATGGAGACCCGAAGATCAGGGCTCCTTTCGCTGTTCTCTGCAACAAGAGTCCTTCTCTTTCTACGGAAGACAGCTGAATATATTTTGTTTCCAGGATAGTTTCTCTCTCTCTCTCTCTCTGTGTGTATTCTAAACTCCGGCACCGGTGGAACTTATCCGAAAAAGACAACTTGCCAGAGGCGCCCCCGACAAACAAAGCGGTTTCTGATAGTCCTCAATAACGAAAGCTCACTGCCCATTTGAGTTTGGCACTTTTCAGAAGTAGGAGCGGTTTGAAGCTCGTTTTTCGCTACTGATCCATGCCCGTAAAACCTGATTTCTCGCCCGCTACTGATCCCAGCCTAAATCGGGGTTTTGTTTGGTTTTTCCCTCCGACCCCGTCTCCAGAAAAGGCGATCGCTTTGAAGCAAGAGTTGGAGCTCAGGAAAGAAAGAGAAATACGCAAGGATTAGGATGCACGGAGAAATGAGCAAAGTTTAAGAGAGTGAAATCGGAGAGGTTGATCATACCTGTCCAGGAGAGATTGGCACCTTTGACTATCCAATTGCCTCGGGAAAAACTCTAGCCATGAAGACGCACAGACTTGAAAATTGCTCTAGAAATAATAATACCTTCCTCTTGGTCAAGATGTTTAGACGTCTCTCTTGTCCCCGCCTGAGGCGCGTAACTGAAAAAAGCGAGCAAATTCTATTGTCGGCTGGATCTGTAACTTTATTATTACTGCTATTATTTTTCAACTGTTCAGCCGCCGTGATCGTTACTCGTCTTTTCCAACATCACCCTTGTCATTGGCTGTTTCTTCAGTGTGTTGAATGTGCGGGAGCGAGAGTAGGGAGGGGAGGGGGTCGGAAAGCAGGAAGGAAGTTGTGAGCCTGTCTGGGGTTGAACTCAGCGGAACAAGTTTCTTTTCTTTCTTTTTTCTTTTTTTCCTATTGCTTGGCAGGACTGATGGAGAGAAACATTAAAAAAAAAAGTTTCCATTGTTAGCGAGCTCAGAACAAAATCTGCTCCACCCTTTGTGGGTTAAAGATACACCGTCCATTTTTTTCCACTCCTTGTTCCTCCTTACTATGTATAACTTGCTTCAGCTATTTAAAACCTCTGAAATGCTCCAGCTTTTTCAGGAACAAGATGAGATGCTGGGGTTATTGCTCTGCAGACTGGATTTCCCTTCCAAAGGCCTTCAGAGAGCAAGTGAAAAACTGTGACCCATGTGAGATCACGGATATTTTTCAGGTATAGTGATTATATATCTGTAAATCTGTTAAGAGCCTAAGGTTTCCCTTTAGTTTTATCTTAACTTTTCAGACTAATTTTAATTATTATGAGAGAGGTATAGTCATACTGTTACATATTTAAAAGGGAAAGTGGCCCTTTAAGAATATGTCAACTCTGTTTAAACCAGTCAAATACCTGGGGGCTGAAGGAGACTCCAAATATGTTTGAATAAAACTAAACACTGAGGAGGCCAGTTACCCATCCTTAGCCCAACCCAATTCACTGGGTTCTCATTCTGGGGCAAAACAGGAGGATGAAGTGTTATGTTTCAAACCATGAATGAGCTCCTACACAAAAAGCAAGGTGTAAGTCTCAGAAATAGATAAATATGTTTCCAGGTATTCCCCTGTTCAGTCTGCAGCTGGAACTCTACAATTACCTCAACAAGAGGTATTTTTCACATTTGAATTATTATTAATTTAAAAGCCAGAAATTAAACACATAAATCTTAAAATCCTATCTGTATGATTCACTTCAGGTCAAATATGCTTAGGCTAGTGTGACATATACTTTTGTTTACAGAATCTAAGTAATGGGAGCTTGCTCCACAATATGTCTTTCTGATTCTTCTGTTAGAAACTATTCCACCTTCCTATTTCAGGGAAAGAAAAGAGATATTAGAAACCCTTTTCAGCTTTGATCAGCTTTGCTTAGAAAAAACTTCCATTTGACATGGAATGATCTCCATATGGCATTTAATTTTATGGATCTCCCAAAAATGTATAAATCAAATCAGAAACTGTTGGTGAAATCATATACACATATGTGCAACATGGCATACATGCAAAGTAATCCCAAACCTAAAATTATAAAACAAGTCGTCTCAGCTAAAAAGAAATAAGAAAGATGCCCTAGATCTCCAGGTTATTACATAAAATGTGGTCATGTTTATCTATCTCTCAAGATCTGAACTGGTAAGTAAAAAATTGGTTTCTGACACATTATAGTAACATACCAAAAATAATGTTAAAAGTAATTATACATCCAGAGGGATAGTGTGGCTGTTATAAATTGGGACTGCTGGGGTAAAACTGCTGCAGTTCAATAACACTTGGAGGACTGCAGGTTCTCCAACCCTTCAAATAGCCTATAATATTTTGTCTTCAAGGTGCTACAAACTGCACTTCTTTGATATACACATACTTACATATACTTACATATACGCACGCATACACATACACACCCCTCTTCATTTCATTTTAATTATTGATTGGGGGAGGCATTCTATTATTCATAAATTGTTGGTTAAATCAGAATGTGTCAGCCATAATGCCTCATTTCACATCACCTGCATAGTGACAAATGCAATAGGAATTATTTTTATTATATTTGAAATCCATTAATTCAAAGTATATGCGTGTGTGCAATATGTATTCAATAGGCAATGTTATTTTAGCCACACCAGACACCAGGTTTTGAACATTTCTTATTTAATAAATTCATGATTGAAACCTTATCTCTTTTCAAAGTGCAGTTAGATGATTGATCTTCCAGAACTCAGAAATAACTGGTGAAATATGTGTCATAAAGTCTATCCTGAATATCATGTGATTTACTGTTGTTTTTCTACAATGGATCTGCAATGACTAGTAAGCCGCTCTTTGCAGGATCAGAACCACATTAAGCACAATTAAGTTTTTGTTGAAACATTGCCTTTCTGTTGAAACTGTCTTTCAATTCCACATTTCCAGTGCAGTTCACATTAGCTGATAAGATCCAGGAAAACAGTTTGCATGAAAAAAGGCAATGCCAAAAACAATCAGACCTGACATTTTAAAAACAACTAAATTAAAAAGTCTGGGGAATATACTGAGCAATATCGATCTGTCATAAATCAGCATCCTCCTGCTTGCTCTTGGACTGCAATCTGTAATGTGCAGTCTCTTCTGAATAACCATATGGATATTACCAATCCACTTTTTAGAGTCTGTTCAACTCTATTGCTTCAAAAATGATAATGGTTGAAAGCAACACATTCGTTTTAGAGGCTGTGTGTATGCAATTGTAAGTAGAGCTGAACAGAGGAAAAGAAAAGATTGAAAATAATATTATTTATTAATCAAATTTATATGGTGACTCATCTTCTCCCAAAGGTGACTCTGGGCAGCACACAACAATAAATAAAATAGCCAATAAAAAGAAATTAAAATCTTACTATAAGAATAAGCACATAGAACAAAGCAATGGAGAAATTGAGGTGAAGTCAGTGTCCACTTATATAGAAAGGACACTATTGATTAGTAGTTAGAATAGAATCCAACATTAGTCACAGTCATGAAGGTCACATATTTTCATTTCATTTCTATTTTTTTTCGCTCAGCAAACTTACCTCATGAGTTTTTTATGAGAATAACAAATCGAACAGAGGAACCCTTAATCTCTTTAAAGGAAGGATATGCTAAAAATATAAGAATAAAATATTTACTTAACTGTTATCCTGTCTCTATTTCCATTTTGGGTTCTGTGTGCATGCACGCATGCCCTTTGATGTAAAGGCTCATTCACACAACAGACCCTGCATCATTAGAACTACCAGATCTGGACTGCAAAACTCGTAATGAACCCTGAATGGCAGAACAAAAATAAAGTAGTACAGTAAAAGTAGTCCTCAAATTACAACCGGTCGCTTAGCAACCGTTCAAAGTTACACAGACCCACCTGCCCCAAAGGTACTTAAGATCCAATTCTGAAGTTCTGATGGCTGCCTATCCCCCCCCCCCCCCACTCACATGACTGCATGTCAGGCACTTAGTTTTACAATGTTTTTGCTGAAAACTAGCATTTACTTCTGGTTTTCGGCAAAAACACACCTTATAGTGAACCATGGATTTGCTTTATGACTGCAGCATTTGCTTTACAACTGATGCAAAAAAAGTCATAAAATTGGGTCGGTCACTTGGGTGACCTGCTTTAAGACTACCATGACTTATGACATAATAGGCAGGCTCCGTTACTGTTGAAAGTCAAGGACTACTTGTACTATATACGTATAGTTCATGCCATTTAGTGGCCATTTGGAGTTTTGCAGCCATAATCTGAAAGCAATATGCATGATTAGCAGACAACAGATTATACTGGAAACATAAAAACAGGAGATACAAGACGTGCTCAGTCTCTGCTTATTTGTAATTTCCAAGGGATCCTCCTCGGTACAAGCCTTACACCCAGGGAATTTGTTTGTCTATATCTGTGGTTGAGCATTCTGTCCAAGAGTTATTTAGATGTACAAATGTTTTGTTTTGAACCATGCATTCTTTATTTAGATGGTTGACTCTTAATATGACTTTTTTTTTATTTGTGTGGGACAGCACATCTAATCTTTATTATCCTAAAATATAGTGGATTTCACAGCTGAAAGATGAAAACTTTGCTGTAGGTTAAATATTACAGGAAAAGAAATTTCAGCAGCTATTCTTTCTCCAAGGATGTTTTGTGCACATGTAGCTGGTTGGAAATATAACAAAGAGCAAGCAGATAGCCTTGGAGAGTAAGAGTTTTCCATTGCTTTCCAGTATTTTAGTTGTTATCTGCTCTGGACTGTAGAGGCGAAGCAATTATATTATAAAATAACTAATTTTCAGAAGCATTTTTAAAAGCCAATATTGCATTTTTAAGCATTCACCCAAACATGCACACATCCTTGTGTAACTTTGCCATCTTAATGCAAGTTCACTTGGCGTAAGACCATTGAGTTCAAAAAGACTTGCAGTTTGGAAGTGTCTGAATACTAATTTAATCAGAATATAGCTGGAAGGGACCTTAAGAGGTCTTCTAGTCCACCCCCCTGCTCTAGCACGAGACCCTGTACCATTTCAGACAAATGGCTGCCCAGTCTCTTCTTAAAAGCCTCCAGTGACGGAGTGCCCACAATTTCTGAAGGCAAGCCGTTCCACTAGGTAATTGTTCTCACTGTTAGGAAGTTTCTCCTTAGTTCCAGGTTGCTTCCCTCCTTCATTAGTTTCTATCCAATGTTTTTGTGTTGCCTTCTCTTGCTTTGGAAAATAAAGTGACTCCCTCTTCTTTGCAGCAGCCACGCAAACACAAATCTTTTCATAATACATTTTATAATATACATTATAATGTTTTGCCAGGATATTTTAAATAATAGCATGTTTTAATGTATTATGTTGTTATTAATTTTGTGTGTGTACATACATACATACATACATACATACATACATACATACATATCAGGTTAAAACCTGTTGCATATTTATTTATTTATAACATTTAGAATTTTTTCCTTCAATTAGCCAAAATAAAACATTACATCCAAGATAATAGTTTGCCATAAGTAAATTAAACTAAATAAATAAATCAAGTTCATCACTATTACTGTGTAAGCCATATTGAACTGTCATCTTTAGAATTGCTATGCCATTGGTGCTAATTGATGGGTGAAGAGAGAACTGATTGTTCCTGTCCTGCTTGTGAGTTTCCCATAGACATCTGGTATCCATTTTTGGAAACAGGATGCTGGAATTGAAAATTACATCAAAGCAATGCAAATGGATTTTTCGTCCTGCAACAGGACTTCCCTTATTCTATCTTTCTCTGTACTTCCTGTATCTCATTCTCTAACCTCTAAACAGATTTGGGGAGAACAAGGAAAAATTGGGGGAGGGGGGGGCTGCTGGCTGATCTGCTCTATGAT